ATTGTTGTTGTGTACTGTAGAGTTGTAATCAATCCATAGTTGACCCTCCAACAGGGTTTTCAAAGGCAAGAAATCACATGGGAGGAGATTGTCCATTTTTTTCTCGCGAAGTGGCTGGTGATCTTGAAACACATGCCTTCAGGATTGCAGTGCAGCTTCTTGCCATATATCAATTGGTATTTCATCAATTCTTGGGGTCTTGCATATTTAAAAAAATACTTTTTTAAAACTTTAATTGTGATTTTAACAAAAGTTTAAAGAAAATTTGGATTTTTATTCACTAATTTTTGCACATTTTCCTCTCTATCCCTTTACCTCTTGCCAAGTCCACTCTACTTTTTTGTTGTTGCACAATTTCCTCCCTCTTCCACCCTCTTTTACTTCTGCCCTAGTCCTTTTTGCAATGTGGTGGGGTTTTTATTTTTCCAACTCATCCAGAGTAACCTGAACTCCTTCTTCATCAGCATTGCCTCTTGATCATATTTTGTTTCATTAAATTTGTCTCTGACAGCCAATTTTTTTTTTATACAGTGAATGTGTACTCTATCTTCTTTAGATGCTTCTGGGGTCATTAAATATTCTGTCCACAGCAACCTTAAATATTGCTACTCGGGGCTTGCATATATTCTTTAGTTCTTTCATCTTAAATTCTGAGAAAATTCATCTCTTGATTTTCTGACTTCAGCTCTTTGCATTATAATATTTTGCTTTGCCTTCCTGAACTACTTTAACACTCTAGGTTCTGTTCACTGTGTTTTCGCTCTGATGCATGCTGTGAATGCAGTTTGCTTTGCAGTGTTTTGAGGCTTCAGAGGCCTTTGCCTCTTCCTGGTTGTCCACCTAAAAAGCCAATGTTTTCTTCATTCCTCATGCCAAGCTTTCATCATAGAGGCTTTTACTGAGGCAAGGAGACTTGGATGCTTCACATACTTTGGCACACCCGTATGATGATGCACATCATTTCTGGGCAAGAATTAATAAACTTCTTTTCTTGGACTCACAACTTTACAGTATTAACTCAGCTCATTATTCTCTTTATTTCAAAGTTCATTCTGCCTGTTTTTCACACAATCTTTGCTCCATTTTCACTTTAAACTTTATCAGCTGTCATATATTCTAAAGACTCTTCATTCATGAAACTTCAGTGTGTAGAGAGGATTTCTAATTATACCTTTAGTTTCCCTTTTGTTCTAATTAATACTAAAATATAATTTAAATCTTCAAATAGTTATAAGCTTATAACAAAAAGCAGTTTCAAGTCTTAGTTGTTACCAGTAAGAAGGTAATTATTTTCAACTCTTGATATTTTTACTAAGAATTTATCTTCATATTTCCAAATGATTAATATTTGTTGTTGTTGTTTTTTATTTGAGGTCTCATTTTATGAACTCTTTACCAAGAGATGAAAGTTTCAGTTCTCACAGTGGTCTCTGCAACACATGCATATTTTTCCTCCCTACTCTCTACCCAAAATAATTACATCACAGTTTTAGTTAAACAAATAATAAATTTTATATAAATGTATGTATATGTATTTTTCATAACAAAACCTGCAAAATATAATTTTCTTCTGCTTTATGACCTTTTTCTGGAATTATTCTTCTTCATTAAATTTTCAAGGAGTCATCAACTTTTTGCTTCAAACATAAAACTCTTCCTTTTTCCCTCCCCTTGATGCAAAAGATTTAATGTATATTGGTAGAAATGTGTAATTTGCCATATGGGTTAAAAATGGAATATTAATACATTCAGAAAATCAAATATAGACTTTTATAACAACAACATATCTCAGATAATTTTCCAAAAGGAACAAAGAAATAACCTTGATAAAGAGAGGTATTTTTCATCATTGTCAGAAATTTTTTCTAATTTATTACTCCATCATCATCAAGATCAGCCTTATCAAGCAGTTCCTGAAGTTCTTCATCTATTACATTTTCTCTTGGTTCCCTAGTAACTCTCTTAATATCACTTAGTGTTATGCTTCTTGTATCATCATCATCAAATAATTTGAAAGCCTTCAATATTTCTTCATTTTCACATTCATTATGGCAAGTAAGCCGCTCAAACTTCAAAAGCAATGGGGACAATTCCTTTTTTACCAGTTTCAGTTATCATTTTTTAAAATTTCATCTCTCTTCTGTTCAAGTACTAAGACTTGCATTTGGATCTTCAATTTTTTCACATCTATGGCTCCATATCTATCAACATCAAACTAAATAGAAGACCTCTTTAATTTCCTGGTTTTGAGTTTCATTGAATTTAATATTTCTGCTCTTTTCTTCCATTGGCCTGAACTTCAGTGGCTGCTGGATCCATGATCCCTACTGAGGCCCCTCCAGGACCTGGTTCAGCTCACCTATCAAGCTCTACCCAACAAAAAGTATAAATAGAAGACTCTTCTTAATTAAACCAGAAGTAGAAAGTGATTTTTTTTTATTTTCCCTTTTTTAGACACCAGTTCCCCACTCTCTATCCCCAGTTCCTTTTCTCTTCTTATGTCTAAAAGACCTAGAAGTTATCTTTGCTTTCTCCTGATTTGAGCAGCATTTTGTTCCTTTGCCATGAGAGTTTCATTATTCGGAAGTTTATTAATTACTTACTAGAGGGAAGTCTAATGCAATTATCATTCCTGATTATTTATTTATTTTTTCTCTTTCTTTGGGAACTTTTAGGCTCTTCTCATTATCCTGTCTGTTCTAACCTTTCAAGATGATATACCTTTATTCAGATTTTTTAAAGTTTGTTTTTAAGTATTGTTCCTGGTATTTATTGGGTTTCTTTAGCTAGAAATTTCCTTTTATTCTGGGAATATTTCTTGTATTATTTCTTTAATTAATTCCTTTCTTCCATTTTATATATTCTTTCTTATTGAAAATTAGGGAGCTCTGGTGGCCTAGTGAGTAAGGAATTGCACTGACAACTCAAAGACAGGCAGTTCAAATCCATTAATAGCTCTAAGAGGGAAAGATGGGAAATCTCCTTCCATGTTATGAACAGTTTCTGAAAATCTTCTGGAAGGTCATCTATGAGTTGGTTCTGACTCCATGACAATGGATTTGATTGAAAATTAGATGTTGGATTGCCTATGTTTATCCTTTGTTTTCTTATCTTTCAATCTCTCAGTGGTATTGTGAGATAGGGAGAGACCTGGATGAAATGATTGATACAGCTTGTTCCCACTTCTAAAACATGGGGATCCATTTATTTGGAGCATTTATCATTCTCACTATGTGCTAGGCAAAACGTTAGGTGAATATAAAGGTGAACAAGGCACCAACATTTAAACTCAGAGGTTGCTTCACCTCAGGGAAGCCTACGTAAATAAACTCATGAATACCACAGTGCCAAACTCTATACCTGGCAGAGTAGATGTTAAAATGGTACCTTTATTCTCAACACCTTCTCTGGGCTCTAGGATCTCCACTTATGTCACGACTTTGTCACCTCTCATGTATGCTATTGCTCACACACCTTCCTCCACCTCATTTTTTCCTTTCTTTCTAGTTGTTTTAAAGCAAATTCAGATCACCCACAAGCACTACCCTGACACAGCCATGAGCTTCCTAGGTATGAGCAGTATGAATGTTAGTTAGCAACATGGAAAATAGTTCTAGCAGGCCTCATAGTGACTAAAGGACCTCATCACTCGGGCATGAGAGAACAGAAGAGTTCCAGTTGAAACAGAGAGAAAAAACAAAGTGAATTGTTCCCCAAACATTACTCTTCGTGTTGTTTTACTCTCAGGGGAATGATCTTATTTGTATCCTGCTTAACTATTCTCTCACTGGCTATCTCACAATTCTACTGAGAGAAATTCACTCAGATACACATCATCTGTCTACTCCTCATCCATGCTGGATTTTTTTTAAGGAGCCCATAGTGCCACAAAGAAAAGTTATATTCAAATGAGGGTGAGAATTCCTTTGCTACCTGCTGCACAGAACTCAAATCAATACTGAAGATGAAGTAGAAAAACATGTTATTGCTTTGTTGCCAAGATTTCCAGGTCTTCCTGCTCCTGTAGCACAAACCCTGATGCCAGGCCTGGATCTTCAGCAGTAGCCTGACTGTTTCCCAGTGCAATTTGTTTTTTGATTTCCTGACTACTAGTACCTAGAGTCTTATGTTGTTGTTGTGATGTGCCATTGAGCCACCTACAACTCATAGTGACCCTATGTAAAATAGTCTTAAACCTTGCTCTATTCTGTACCAATACCACTGACACACCTACCCCCATTGCCCCAGTCACTGAATCAATCCATCTCATCGAGGATCTTTCTCTCTTGCCCTGTCGCTCAATCCTCCTTAGCATGGCATCCTTCTCCAAGGTCTAGTCCTTCCTTGCAACATGTCCAAAGTATGTCAGAGTTTCATACATTATGTTTTATAAAATTAATCATAATTGATCTATTACCACCACTACCTTACCTTTTCAACTACCTACTGGGTCTTCCCAAATCTTTCACCTACTCTTTCTACTCATCAAACTCTGTAACCTTATGAATTTCCCCTCACCCTGTCTTCTCAGTCTGCCTCTTCCCTCCTCTTCCCCTTGGATTTTGGATACATATTACTAATAATCAATTTATTTTTATAATAATGGTCTTATACAGTATATGTCTTTATGACACTGAGTTAGTTCACTCACCATAATACTCTCCATACTTTCCCATGTCTTATAGTATTTTTTATATTACTTCTCCTGAGTGCAGCATAGTATTCCATCATGTGAATGTACCACAATTTCTCAATCCATTTGTTTGTTGATGGACATTGTGGCTGTTTCCATTTTCTTACTATTGTGAATAATGCTGCTATGAACATTGGTGTACAGATCTCTGTGTCTCAGCTCCAATTTCTTTGGGATGTATTCCTGGCAGTGGAATAGCCAAGTCATATGGAATTTCTATGTTTAGCTTTTTTTTTTTTTAAAGAAAAAAAATTGTTTTATTGAGACTGGGGACCACCAGTACTCCCTAGGAATGGTGGTCTAGGCTCTAGGTGAAGAGACGGACTGTGCAATCAGCCCCTGAGGAGAAGAGCCAGGGCTGGGTGGGGTGGAAGGCCACATCCAGCACCCCCAGGCCCCGGTTCAGCACGTGACCTTTGAGCACCTTCACCGGCACCAGCAGCGGGTTCTGCAGCAAGTCACTGGGGAGGAGAGGGTACAGTCAGGGGAGCTGCCTGGGGGCAGAAGTCCTGGGCACAGGCAGGGACACCCGGCAGGGGCAGGGGGTACTCACTTGTATACCATGCCATGACAGACAATCACGCTACCGTCATCAGAGCCAGAGGCAAAGAGTGGGTACCGGGGGTGAAAGGCCACAGCCCGCAGAGCTGCCTTGTGATTTCTGTTGGTGGGGGTGTGGAGACAGGTCACTGATGGGCCCAGGGCCAAGAGCTAAGCTGCCCACTTGCCAACCCCATCCCCGTACCTCAGCACTTTGTAGGGCCGAGTGGAGAGATCCAGGTCAAACCAGATCAACTTGCTGTCATAGCTACCACAGATGATGTTGTCACCTAGTGTAGAGCACAAGGAGTGAGTTCCAGTGGCCACCTGGCCTCTGGCCTCCAGCCCTGGTGACCCCATCTGGCGGCCTCACCTGCAGGGTGTACAGCGAGACTGGACACCCACTTGCAATTGGGCATCAGCTTCTTGGTGAGCTCCTGTCGCAGCAGGTGGTAGAGGCGGACACTGCGCTGAGAAGCCACCAGCAGGAAGGGCCGGGTCGGGTGGAAGGCCACGCACTGTACGTGCCCGTGGCTACGGCGGAAGGGGCTCTGGCTGCGACGCCGGCTGTCCTGGTAGATCAGCACCTGCGTGTGCCCTGGGGCTGCCAGCACCATGGCCAAGTAGTTGCCACACCCATGCCAGGCCACTTGTTTCACCGACTTGATGTGTTTGATTTGCAGCTACAGGCCACTCTGCCGCTCCTCCTCTGAGGCCTCCAGCCATTGGGCAGGCTGCTGGGCTGACTCCTCAGGCAAGCTGAAGGCACTCAGCAGCTGGTCAGTGCTGCTGACCATCAGCCGGTCCCCCAGGGCTGGATTCAGCAGCAGCACAGCATCCTCTATGGCCGCAGCCACCAGGCAGACAGAAGGGTTGGGATTCCAGGCGACACTTTTCACCACAGCCCCCACAGGCACGGTTCTCATGCAGCGGGCGGTAGCCACCTCCCAGAGGCGCACCGAGCCATCATCTGAGCCTGAAGCCAGCCACTGGCCCCCTGGGGAGACACTGAGGCAGCGGACCAGGTCACTGTGACCCCTGTAGACCAAGGCTCGGCACGTGGGGAAGGGCTGCAGGTCCCGTGGCCGGGGCAGTTTGGGGATGAGGTCTGCTGGGTCCACGTTGACCCGTATCTTCCGCTGTCGGGGACACAGGTAGAGGTCGAGACAGCGCTCAAAGCGCTCCTGTATGAAGCGGTCCTAGGCAGGCACTATGCACAGGCTGGGGAACTTGCGAAGCAGGAAGGGCAGCTTTCTGTCCCAGGGCTCCTGCTGCTCCCAGGCCAGGCGCTCCTCTTCACTGAGCAAGTACTCGGGAGGGGGGTTGTAGGACTCGGCATGACCAGGCAGGGCCAACTTGGGGGCAGGCACATGCATCTTGTGGCGCCCCA